TAATTGGCTGCTTTTTGTTTTAACTCACCAGACTATGATCGTTTAATGAAAAGGAAAATTAGTAAAGAATTGAATTTTATAAGGAGCATAGCATGGGATGGGTATCAAAAGTTGAAATGAGAACTTTTTTTTTTTTTTTTTTACTTTTTAAAGACAAATTGTGCTTTTTGTGTGTGTGTGTGAGAGAGAGATTTACGTGGGAGGAAAGCAATGCATGATAGATAATGCACAGCAGAATGCATGATTTTGGATTATTATTGTTGACAAGAAACAAACAAATAAAAAAACGTGATCATACCAATTAATTGACGTCAACAATTATATATACAAAATAGTAAAAGCGTTGTTACGTATTTATGCGAATGATGGAATGTGTTATTGCATTAACAATTGTCCTACGTAGCAAGTAATTTGACCATTATTATTTGCCACTTAATTTATATATATATAGGGGGTGTCTATATGTACACCCCTTGTGTGTAAAAAAGGGGTGTACATATAGCATTGCCCTTTGTGTAATTTATTAAAAAGGGGTGTACATATAGCATTGCCCTATATATATATATGAAGAAAAAAAATATAATAATTAATAAATAGACAAGTTAAAAGTTGACTTGCACGAACAGATTAGCCCAAAAATATTAAAAAAAAAATATGTATGTTTAATTTTTTTTTATTTATTTATTTTTTAAAATTTTGATTACAGGTGTAAGTGTAACGCCGTTCAATAATAGATCTTTAATTATGAAACTATGTAAGCATCAAGACTACGTGTATTAATTAATGTATTTGTAATTTTGTATGCAAGTCTTTGTTAAGGAGAAAGCAACGTGAACGAGACTTGCATGAAACTTGATGATATATTTATATACACACAGTCACACACACACACACACACACACAAAGTTGGGTGAATTAAGTAATTATTAAACATAAAAAACAAAGATATAAATAATAGAAAATTGCTAATTGGTCGCCGCACTTTCGGGCTTCCTCAACCTTTTTTTTTTATTAATGTGATTGAAATTTTATAATTGTTGTTTATAACTAATAATTGGTTAATACGATAAATATTTACGTTTTATATATAGTTGCCACCTTCAATGGTTGGAATAAGTAGTTTTTGTCTTTTTGAATATTTAATCCCGTCTCTATCTCTCTCTCCACACTCCTCATTAAAAATAGAAAACGACTATAGTTCCGTTGACGGAATGGTTCCGTCAGTGTTTGTTACGTAATTATCTACACAACATAATATATATGTATATCCAATATTGAAAAACACTGACTGAACCATCCCGTAACGGGACCTTAGCATTTTCCTAAAATAATTATATTATTAGAATTAGGACTTTGTTTGTGGAGCGCTTTAGAAACGATGGTTATTGTTGCAGTTAAAAGTCCAAAATGTATAAGGTTCACATTATTAAGGCTAGAAATTCATTAAACCGAGTTATCAAAGACTTTTGCAGCATAAAGGGTCATGACAAATTAAAAAAAAAAAAAAAGATTTTGGACACGATTGAAATTAAAAATATAAGAGTGGTGTAGGGTTAATCAATATTAACTCAATTTTTTTACTCATTAACTGAACAAGCTTGAGCTGAACTTGCTTATAAATATTAACGAGTCGAGCTATCAAAAATTATGTAATATTTTTTCGAGTATTAACGAGCTCGGTTCAACTCGTTAACCAAACGAGTTCATCTCGTTTATCAAATGAGTCGAGTCAACTAGAGCTCCGGACGACTCATTTGGTTTACTAGCTCTACTGATGGCCTTGTAAGTTATGAGTGTAGGCCCACCTTCATTAATATGAGGTTTGGAACAAACTAAAAGTAAAAAAAAAATAAAAAATGGAAGAGCTTACATTCAAGAGGATAATGTTATATTTGTGGATGGAATTATTGTTCATGATAGCTTGTAGAGCCCAGAAGTATATAATGATATAATTTGATATGTATACGTTTAGTTGATTTAAAACTTACATAAAAGATAATAGATTAATGATGTTATAGTAAAAAAAATATATGTATATGAGATTCCGACATGAACTAAATAAGGTCTAAAGTATAATGATTTAGGCTTAGTATCAAAGTCTGAATGGGGTCCCTTTCCACATGATTAAAGTGTATATATATATATAATTATATATATTCTCAATCGTGGGATGGGCTGCCTCAAAACTGGGTAGGTTTTGAATAGCTCTCTCTTGCTCCATAAAATTAATTAATGTACTCTCAATACAATTTCCACCATATTACGTATAATAATATGATCATATATATATTAAATTTCTAATATTTAATTCTTAAGAAAGACGTGCGGGGAATAAAATTGGGAATGTGAGAAGGGTTTACTTTTAAATATAAAATAGAACTAGTACTAACACCCTCGTGTATAACACAGGTGTTTGTTAAAAAGTTATTATTAAATTAAAAAATCTATCCAAGCCTAAGCATGTAATTTTGCCACATAAGATCTCGAAACATGCGAGCTTGCCACATATGCTCTACACATTTTGAATTAATATATAGAGGTGGATAAAAGGTAAATAATAATTATAAGAGCTTTAATTAATTTCTTACATGGGTAAAGTAGGATAAAGATGAGCAAAGCTATGACGGCAGCGTGACTTCACCATATTGGTTAATTAACTTGCATTTGCATATACGTTAAAGTTATATGTTTGCTTTTAGTTTACATTTTAAATGAGAGTTTTACGGAGTTGAAAATATGAAATATTAATGTATCGTATGAATCCTAATAATCATTCATTACTCTTTTATACGTAAAGTTGTTTTGTGTATAGCCCTTTGTTTTAATTAAACTAATTTGACTTTGGCCGCCTAAGAATTTGTAGGACGAGGTGGTTAACTTCTATTTGATGGTAAGATCGACGTTATAAAATAACCTATAAATATCTATTATTATCATGTGTAGTTTATTTCAAACAATAGCTTTGATATTTCTTCTTACCAAAAATAATAGACATTGGAAATACGATTAGTTGATTAAAACTATCTACGACTATTTTTGTAAAACTAGTTGATAAGCTATCTGATAGCTTATCAGTAATTTCTTTAGCTTATAGCTTATGACTTATAGTTGATAAACTAGCTTATATGATAAAAGTGTTTGGGAAAATTAGCTGATAAACTAGTTGGAATAAAAAATCCAACTAGCTTATTTGAAAAGATACCTAAATAAGCTTATCAAATAAACTCGTCCCACCAAACGAGACTTATTTGAATACATAGAGCTTATAAGCTAATCAAATAAACTATAAACCAACTTTTTGTCTACCAAACATTCATGAATTAGATATTGAAATTTAAATAATGCATTGGTAAAACTAGACATAGTAATATGTTGAACACTTTTTTAGCATAGAAGTGCATTAATTCCGTCCATCAGTCGTACAAAATGCAAAACATATATGATCATATATTGTTGACTTTTTACAAGCTAGCTAATAATAACCCATTAACCGTGGTTAGTTACATTTTTGCAATGTTGTGATACGCGTACGTGCTCAAGATTTGGCGATCGAGTTGCATAATGAATTATTCCCCTAGACGCTAGTAGTTGGACACTTATATATAATACCATTAGAATTTCAGCCTTGGCCATAGATTAGATTTTGACCGTTGGTATTAATTTGCACCTCTACGAATGTATTGAGTATACGTGATCAAATGATTGATACATGTCAAGACAGTGCCAGCAGAGTATAGGATCAAATCTAGTATACGTGATCAAACGATTGATACATGTCAAGACAGTGCCAGCAGAGTATAGGATCAAATCTACCGATATTACCCTATGTATTCGACTATGTTATTATTATTATTATTATTATTATTATTATTATTATTATTATTATTATTATTATTATTATTATTATTATTATTATTATTATTATTCAATTAGTAGTATAGTTGTAGTGTTTATTATTGAATATTTATGATGAGAAAGAATATATATATATTTTTTTTTTGTCTAGGCATGGAGTAATCAAAGGGGGTGTTTGGTTGGGTGTATTTTTTTTTGTTTTCCAGATAGAGATAAGGTGCAAAGGGCAAAGGCTTATGCCTTGCTTGTCATTGCAGCATGTAAGAGATAACATATGGAGCAACCCAAGGGATTTCATCACTTTGCTTCCCAATTCCTCAACTACCCATCACATTATGGTGCTTCACTATGCAAAAACAACCACTAATTAATTACAAAATCATTTTATTTTTTTTTTTTTAACTTCATAATTGTTAAATTATAATAACCTTTTTATGTATTTCCTTTTGCTGGTGGCTCATTTTAATCACCCTTTTTTTTTTGGAGAAATTTAGGTATAGTGGGTTTGTATTTTTTTTCTAATTGACATCATTTTCCTTTTTTTTGCTTATGTGGATTAGTTTTCTAATTATGAAAATATTTTGGACTATACCTCATGTATGCATGTAACAGTTGCTATGAAGAGATACACATACATGATTATAGAAAAATGCTAAGATCTCGTTACGGAATCATTCAGTCGGGATTTATAACCGTCATAGATAGTTGAAAATGTAAGAAAAATTGATTCTAAAAAGTTTCAAAATCACTGTAACAATAAATGAGAAATTGATCCTAAGTAGGTACTAAGCTAAAATGTAAGCAATAATAGACTGGAAACTAGCATGTACAAATGTTGAAACAACCATTAAACAAAGTGATACATGAATGAGGCGATGATAAAAGGGAAAACTCCGATTCTCGGCACCTGTTAATATCGTCAACTGTCATCATATTAACTATTTTCGCTGGTAGCGAAGGGTCCATTTTGTGTAGAGCACAACTAACGTCATAATAACAAAGTACAACAACAATATCCATATAAAAAACAAACAAACAACACTTACTGGAATAGGTCAACAATACAACAGGACGGCCCACAAATGCGACACTAGCACATTTTATTTCATTTAACACCGAAAAGCAAGGAAGAACAAAAGAATAAGTTAGTACCTAGCCTCGTGCCAAGAATTTGCCTCAACCCAATCAAATGCAATAGGGCTCAAGAAAGCATCAGGAATACCAAAAGAAGAGACCAAAGCAAGCGCGTGAGGCCTTATTTCACTGCAAAGCCGCGCAACTTCTTTCCTCACTACCGCAGCATTCTCGACCGTTAAATAACCGTATCGGAGGAAAGCAGTATCTTCGTCCAAAGTAACCAGAACATACATTGACCTCAAAAGACCCAAAACATACTGCAGTACATATGAATCAATATTTCAACATTTATGTGTGTAATCATAATATCATATACGGATATACTCATATACCCCTTTTCAGGCACACTCCTGTTACTTTTCGGTTTACTAATTTTCGCCACCAATTTTTTCCTAACCATCTTGTTTACTGAGACTTATGCGTAGGACAAAATATACTTTGCCACCTTCAATAAGTAATCCGCAAGATTGACAACTTTAAGGGTGTGATGGGATATGGATTTGATTAGTTTTTGATTGTTTTTTGTTAACCACAGTTAATTTTTTGTTAGTTGTTAGTGAGAATTTAATTTAAATTAAAATAGTATTTAAAATAAAATAATTAAAAGAACTGATGGTTAGTCAAAATTATGTGAGTGAATGAATAGTGAATTAAAGTTAACGTGATGTGTAAGAATGATTGGTTGATATTTAATTATATTGACAATATTAAGGATAGTGGAAATGAGTTAAAGTTGAATTAAATTTGAGTTTTGATTGATTTTTTTTCTGGTTACGTTTATATCCAATCACGCTTTAAATATCTGGGATACACAGAGTTGTCATTTCCCAAAATATTATTAGGCATTCAATGGTTACCCACTCTCTCTCTCACCAACAGCATTTACTCAATAGCAGATGGAAAAGAACTATTAGTTCTTCTAGATTTTACCATAGATTTTCACAATGCACCCGCTGGTGTATTTATCTTTTTATCATTTTTATCACATCGATTACATTTTAATTCTAGATGCAGTAGTACTTTGAACATTAATCTTTGTTTCCGAATAAATTCTCTCACGTTTCGCACCAAAATAGTAATAATGACAACAGCAGAAAACAGTGACAAAAGCATATCAGGTCGCCATGGGAGAGAAAACACACTTACCTTCAAGGGGGCATCTGTTACATTATTCTCAGCTTCTATAAAAGTCTGCAAAATTGCACGGTCAGAAAAGGCTCTGCCTAGATCTTCAGCCAGCTGATAACTCTGCAGGAAAAAAAGATATAAGAGTTACAAAGACAGACGTTGAAGTTCTAGGCAGCAGGTATTATTGCCATGTAAGATGAGAGCCTTGTTTTCTGATACAAATTACCGCAATAAAAGCAGATTCTTTGCTTTCTCCCTGCATTTGGTACTTTGTTACTTCAGTGGCGAAGCGGTTTAATAGATCTCTTTCTCTCAAACAGAACATATCATTCTGTCACAGGAAAACAAGTACGCGATTCCTGAAATTTTTCGAGCATTTTTTTTTCTTCGG